AAGCGAAGGGGAATACGACGGTTTGGTTAAGGTCGTAGGGATCAGATTCACTGAAAGTGAGAACAACGAAAAAGACGGAACAAACACTTGAATCTTGATAACCACTAAAAGTCAGCAAAGAACCTAAAAGTCAGCAAAGAACAATACAACAAACTCAAGCAAATAGGCTAGTGGAGGCTTGCCCTGGCTACAGGAAACTAAATAAATGGCTATCCAAATCAACCCAAAATTCCCATAAAGAAACTATCTTCCTGGTGTCGGAGATTCCTTAAAGCCTCATCCCCTTTCTATTCTTGCAAGCCCGAGGCCCGGCCAATCCTACTCACTCTAGAGAAACACAAGAGTGCAGGACCTCTCCGTCGTTGTTTCCCCCTACTGCAGAACTCAACGCAGAAAGCATTCTCTAACTTCTAAATTAGATCTATATGAGAGTATTAAAGGGTGCAGAGGTTCCAATCTAGATGTCCTACTAAATCGATGATACATGACCATCATTGTCCATCAGACTGAAACATTTGCTAGCAAGTCACACCCTAAACCAATAAAAAAACATACATCTCAAGCTCACGGCCTAGTGAACAACTTCACCGTGTTCTTATGCAATCACAGAAACATAAATTGAAGCACAAAAGAGGAAGATTTCAGCATGGAAGCCAAACTGACCGAAGCATGATCATGATAATTAGCAATCAAGATGGTAGTAGTAGTCTCAGCCTTAGTTCGTGGAGCTGATTGGCTGGGATGCCTTTTCATACCTGGGGCAGACCTACTATAAGACACGGACATGGACGAAACAGTAGGTACTGAGGCCTTATCTCAATTCTTTCCCCAAGTAGCAATCTTGTCAAACTGGAGTATGAAGCAAAGGTCACTATACATATCAAATAAAAACATGGCATAAGAAAAGTGCAAGGCTCTAATTAAATAAACAAAATGTAGTACTTACCCCAAATTCGAGCCTCTTCCTTAACCTCGTCCATCCTTATGGGCTGTGGTAACTGAAGTTTTGGATTCTTCACTTTGCTCGTTGAGGTAACTAAATTTCCCATTGTTAAAAAGCACGAAAGCTCTTAAAAAGGATGTGGCCTGCTAGTAAAACCCTTTTATCCTCCATCCCCCTATTATGGCCCCAGATCGCAGTCCCGCCATTCCCCTAGCCGGAAAAAAACCCATGATTTCTCTGTCGATCTTCCCTCTGCCATTCCCCTGCACACCAACCCTTCATTGTTACCTGGCCAGAACCAAAACCAATACTCACCCATCCTCGGACCTATGGCTATGCTTCATAGAGTCCCACCAATGACCACATGAGGAAAACCAACGCCTCAACATCAACCAAAACCCTATAAGAAAACAAACATAACATAGGATATATGCCTTTTTCAAATAGAAGAAGTATGTTTATACAGGAGAGTAGAAGGAGAAACCAAACCTCTCTCTAGCTCATCCTTTCTTGGATCGGTCCATATCATGAAGGGTTAGAAGGTCATCTAGTGAACAGGCTAGTTATGGTTGAACACCAATCAGGGTTAGAAGGTCGTCTAGTGAATAGGCTAGTTATGGTTGAACACCAATCAGCAATTGCTTGGTAGTGATAGGTTGAGCAGACAATAGTGCACCATCACAAAGCATTTTTTCAAGAGACAATATGCTGAAACTCTTCCCTGTAAAAAGGACAAACCCATTCAATATTTATCATCAATTTACTAAATGTTCAAGTAATCAAATCAAAGAAACCTAACAGAGTTATGTTCATGTAGCAAAAAATGGCACCAATTGACTCCATTCGCCTTCTGTAAAACCACATCCTTAACCCAATTGATTCTATTTAGAGCTCCGTATTTGTTAGAGTTTTGAATCGTTTACCTGATAAACAAAGATTCAGCTAACAAAGTAAAGTAAAGCAGAAGCTCACCTTCTGAATTTTTGCTCGAGAGATTGGAAAAGAAGACCAGATTGAAGAACTTCCAGCTCTCCATTCCATCCTCTACCCTTCTGAATCGCTGCTGATATTCTTCACCATTCCCTCTGTTGTTCCTCAATTCAACGGCTTAAGCCCGTCAAATCCCCCAAGTTACAGAAACCCTACGATTTTTTTGACATGCCAAGTAATAAGTACTGACATGCTCTTCTTCGCCGGCCTTACTCTTTTCGTCATTCTCTTCCGCAAAGTAGACCTAGAGAGAGAGAGAGAGAGAGAGAGAGAGATGAGATTCAGTTTAATAGATTGGGAAGAGGAAGGGTAGAAGTAACCAAAAAACCGAAAACCTGTAAAGGAGAGCTCTCGCGGTGGCTGCCGACTTCAGCAACGATCGACAGCCAATGTGGCATAGTAATGTGAACAACAGAAAACCATTTGGTTTTGCTCAAGAGTCATTTTACCATTAGTCTTTTGTACTTTGCCATCCAAAAATAACTTCAAAAACAAACGAATTTAAAGCTATAAAGCAAGAACCAATATAAAATAAAATGCAAGGAAGAAGAACATGGCGTGAGATTATTGAGTGGATTGGGAAAACATATATGCAAGGATAGATGCTGATGCGATGATTGGTGATAATTCAGAATTACTTTTCCAATCAGACCTGCAAACATACAAAATCAACAACATTTAAAACACCATAAATCAAAACCTCAAAAACCAATTGGCATTCATCTCATAAAGCTGCCTTTCTTCTCTCTCAAGCAATGGCTGCAGCTCGAGCAACAAAATGCCAATATCTAGAATGAAAAGAAACATAATCAAGGCATCCTAAATCCAGTTCCAGTTGCAAACTATATGGCAAAAGTAACATGGGGAAACATGAATAAATTGCAGAAGCGGTGAACCTCGCAAAGCGAGGCCAACTTAATGTAATAGGAAGACCAAAAGCTAACCTTGCTAACTGAAACAGCACCCGCCATCATTCAGTACAGACTTGAGTTATGCACAAACTGAGCGTGAAAGACTGTATATAGATCACACCAAAATGAAAACATTAAAAATCATCTATAAACAGAAGAACATGAAATTGCAGAAGACTAAAGGGTACCCAACTTCATGGGTTTTGAGCTTCCACATTGGACTCCTCATTGTTGCATTGCTCCTGTTCGCTGGTGAAGGAGTTGCCACTACGGAACTTTCTGGGAGGAAAAGCAATCTGCATTCGAACAGGGTATAAATGGAATCACGCGTTATCATCTGTACTGCAGGTGTTGTCGATTATAGCTACCGCTGCGATAACTAACCAAGCACAAAATTGGTTCTCCGACTTCAGTAGACGCCTCAGTTGTGGCCAACTGTTGCCTAACCCATAGCCTATGTTCAAACATCAAATGCCTTTAAGTGAAAGAGATAAAGCGAGAGAGATTTCTAACTCCGAATAAAAGAGAAATGAACATTCATTCTTCTCATCCTCCTTCTTTCTTGATTACTTTGTTTATTTACTGGATTGTAATCTGACATTTCCAAATAACATTCTTAAAAAGACCCAATCTGTATATTAAAGAAACCACCATAATCCCTACGAAACAAAGTAAAAAAAAGGCCAAATCCAAATCTATTCAGGGGAAATTGAATCAACATATATACAGGAAACTACAAAGTTACCCTAGGCACATTTTGTACCTCTGCCAGCAAGCTATGTCGCTGTTGTTCGTCGGCAAGGGTCAGGATCGCCGATGATGACTTCTTCCTACTCTTCCCTTGGCTGGAATCAAATATAAAAACATATAAGAACCAGTTCAAAGAAAGGCAAACCCCTAAATACAAACAGAACCAAACCCCAAAAAGGAGAAGCTTACCTAGAGAGCAGCGGCTAGCCCTAGTTGCCTCTCTTGCCTTCGGAAATCCACACCGACGATAGTTCCTCCCTTATCCTGCATCCTGTCTGAACTCAAAACCCCAAAAGGAAAAAGTCCGATTAATTAAGCACAAAACCAAAAAGAAAGATAAATCCACAAAAGAACTTACCTAAGAGCTTCTTGAAAATTGCCCCTTCGCAAACGGCAGGGCATGTTTCCTCTGCTGTGACAATCGCCGTCGAAGCGCACGTCATCCCAGCACCTTGGAGGCATTGTGATAAACTACGATTAATTCTAAGCACTAAACAACCAGAATAATATTATTGTTAGGAGGACCATGTATTCATCACAGGATGAGGACTAACTATAACATAGTAACACTTTGACAAACAACCTGAGTTTGGAAATATATAGGTATTCTCATGCTAAGCCTAGAACTGTAAACTTCAAGGGCCTTCTAATAATAATGTATTAATTTTACTTAAATGTGGAATTGTAAACTTATAACTCAAAAGCGCTTTAATCCCCCAAAAGCTTATCACACACCTGTAAACCGATCCTGGAATTATAAACTTCAAGGGCCCTCTAATAATGTATTAATTGTAACCTATTCATCATTCTACTTCCTTGCTCTTCCTCTTCTTCGAGGAAAGAAAGCAAGAGACTTGATGCTGTCTGTGCAACTGGCATAGGCTGGATTAGAGCCAAAATGGATTTCGGCAATTAATCCCCCACCCCAAGCACACATTAAGACTTGAATCAAAATACTAAAGTAATCCGGAACAATTTGGGGACAAAGAAAAGCAACCTTATGAAGCTGAAGCTACATATGGTCAACGGCACAGGAAAAAAGGTATATATTCAGATAAGGTATCCATGTGTAAATAAAAGATGAATTACAAAAAAAAATTACTGGCTAGACATACCCCAGTTCCATGTCCAGGCTTAGTATGTCAGCCGGCGGGAGTACACTACCGCCATCAGAACCTCTCCGATGCCATCACCTTAGCCGCCAGCAACTACGGCTTCTACTCCAACCGATTGGCGATCGAAGGGAAACTCCTAACTTGGGGCCGCTCATCGCGGGCATCTTGTTATCGTCTCGCCGCGGCAAAAGTCGGATTGGCAGTGGCCGATCCTTTTCATCTCTCTTCCACCTTCACCAACCAAAAAACAGCGGAACCATTAAAATCCCCCAAACATAGAATCAATTCATCATGGAAAAAGCTCACACCAACCCAACGACGCCATCATACTTACCAAAGCACTGCACCGTCGTCGATTACCTCCAGGCCTGTCGTCGGGCCGCCGTCAGCATGCCACCACCGCGACCGCCTCTCCAATCGCTGCTGACGAGCCACCGCTCAGACACCGCTACAGCTCAATCACTGTCACTCAGCTCAGGCACCGTCACTCGCCTCCACATTGGCATCTTCGTAGTTCCGAGCCCACCTCTGGCGTCGGCGCCTCTACTTCCTCCGCCATTTACTTTTGTCGCTGGACTCGGTGAGTGTGGAGAAGGGAGAGAGGGAGAGAGATCTGGGAAGATCTTATCTTTTTCTTGTCCTTTGTTGAGCAAGAGAGATAGGGAAGAAGATTTGGAAAGAGTGAAAGAAAGATAAGCACATAACGTGTGGTTGTGGGTGGAGAACAGTGGAGAAGTGATGGGGAAGTTACTCTCCCCAACAGAAACCCAAAGTTTTTTTGTTTTTTTTTTTTATGAATAAACCCAAAGTTACTTTTCGAAAAAGGAACCAAAAACTTATTCCTTTTCACAGAGTTAATTCTTTTTTTTTTTTTTTAACAATAGATAGCTTTTATTACCAAGACCAAAAGACAGCACTGTTTACATCACAAGAAAAACCACCGCTCAAAATCAAAACTCTCCACACTCGCAGGCAACAAAGAAAGGGTCTTCCTGGCCACCTCATGAGCCACCCGATTGTTACTCCTGCCAACAAAACCAATGTCAAAACTCTGATAGCGTCGCCGGATCCCACCAATCTCCTCCAAGATCCTTCCACCACGCAGGTCCCTAGCATCCGCTCTCTGAATCTTCTCAATGACAACCTTAGCATCTCCATAAAACTTCACTTCAGTGAGACCCTTCAAAAAGCACCACCGAATCGCATCACGGAAGGCTACCAATTCCACTAAGAAGGGATCAACAAGACCTGCATAAGAAAAGCCTTGAACAAAACAAACACTACCCATCGCATCTCGAACCACCAACCCCCCCGCACCATGAGACCCCGGCGCCACTGCACCATCCACAAAACAGGAATACGACACTACACCCGGCCCCTGGCCACACCTACTCCCCCCGCCCATCTCCCCACCCACCCGACTCAAATCACGTTGAACCGGAACAGGGTGCACAATCGAGAGCCACTCCTTAACCTGGCTCTCATACTGCTGCACAAGCCGCGGAATAGCATACTGCACATGATCAAAGACCACCCAATTCCGACTCTTCCAGATTCTCCATAACAGCGCCACAAATCGGACAATCCTCTCAGTACTAGAACCCTGCTCAACAAACCGACGAAAGAACAAAGCAAAATTACTCGCATGAGGAGAACTTACTCCTCCAACAATGCCCGACCTCTCCCAGAGAGCCCTAGCCACTGTACACGAGAGAAACATGTGTTCCAAGGTCTCCATAGGCTCCCAGCACACCGGGCATTGTAGCTTGACCAACTCCCCTTCCTCCGCACTCTCCAGTATCACTGCCGGCACCTTTCCTTCCTTTTCAACAATCGCCTCCATGGTGGGCAGAATACGTCGAAGCATTTGCCACACAAAAAACTTCAACTTTGGCTGAATGGGGAAATCCCATACCTTTTTCCAAAACCCACTGTCAAAAAAGGAAACCTCATCCTTCCACCCCGGCAAACGGCGACTAAGAGTGAATGCTAAATGGTATCCCGACCTGACACTATACACCCCATCATTTTCCCGCGACCACACCAGCTTATCCCTCACCGGCTGCACCGGCAATGGGATAGAACAAATTCTAGCCACAACATCCTCATAAAAACATTGCTGCAAGCACTCAAGACACCATCTTCCCGTTCCCGGGATCATTAGCGCCTGCACTGTCACAGCATTCAAATTAGGCGCAGAGGCTCGACATACAATCTCCTCCGGTCGCCACCCCGGGACCCAATTGTCTCCTAACACCTGTACTGTAGCCCCATCACCTATCTGCCATATCAATCCTTGCTTGAGCAAATCCCTTCCATGCAAGATGCTAGTCCATCCCCACGAAGGCCTCGACCCTCGATTCGCTTGAAGGATAGCCGAGTTGGCAAAATACTTGTATTTCATCACTCGAGCCAGGAGAGACCCCGGCTCTTGTCCGACTCTCCAAGCCACCTTCGCCAACAGGGCCTGATTAAAATTTTCAAACCGCCGAAACCCAAGCCCACCATCGAACTTACTCCTGCAAAGGTTCCTCCAGGACACCCAATGAGCCTTGTCTTTTTCGGTTGAATACCCCCACCAAAATCTAGCCATGTGCTTATCCAATTTACGGCAAAGCGTCACCGGCAAGAGAAAGCAAGACATAACATAGATGGGTAAGGCAGCCGCCACTGCTTTCAATAACACCTCCTTCGCTGCCCAAGACAACTGCTTCTGCTTCCAACCTTGAAGTTTAGCTAGCAGGCGTTCCTCCAAATACCTAAAAGTCTCCACTTTAGATCGTTGAACCAACGACGGTAGCCCCAGGTACTTATCCTGAACTCCTATAGCCCCGACACCAAGGATAGCCGCCATTTCATCAACATCACTAGGCTCAACATTACGGCTAAAACAAACAGCAGACTTACTCAGATTTACTTTCTGGCCACTCAACTCCTGATATTGTCCCAATAAAAGCACTAATGTCTCACATTCCTGCTTCGATGCCCTCAAAAACAGGTAAGAGTCGTCAGCGAAAAATAAATGTGAAATACTCGGACATCTCGGATTAACTTTAACCCCAGCTAATCTCTTCTCCTCCACTGCCTTGCGTAACAACGCTGCGAAACCTTCAGAGCAGATAGCAAACAACAAAGGGGACAACGGATCCCCTTGCCGGAGTCCTCTCGTCGAGCTAAAGTACCCTACCGGCGTACCATTCATCATTACCGAAAAAGTCGCTGTTGACACGCACTCCCGAATCCAGCCAATCCATTGGTCACTAAACCCCATCTTGGTCATAATCACGAATAAGAAATCCCACTCTACTCTATCATAAGCCTTTTCCATGTCGACTTTCAGAGCTAGATAGCCTTTCTTACCTCGCTTCTTAATCTTAAGATAGTGCATGACCTCATGTCCTATAAGCACATTATCCACAATCTGGCGGCCCCGAATGAACCCATTCTGCTCAGGTGAGATAATGGAGGGCAAAACAACAGCCATCCGCTCCGCCATGATTTTAGAGATAATCTTATAAAACAATTGACATAGACTGATCGGTCTGATTTGTTTCATACTCTCAACCGCGTCCACCTTAGGGACCAAAGTTAACCAGGTATGATTGAAACTTTTCAGTAATCGTCCTGACCGGAAGAAGGACTGAACCGCCTCCACTACATCCATCCCAATAATGTCCCAGTACGCCCGATAGAATTTCCCAGTAAACCCATCTGATCCCGGTGCTTGGGTTGCCCCGATCGAAAACACTGCCCGTCTAATCTCATTTGCCGTGACCTCCGCAGTCAAAGCCCCATTCATCTCCTCCGAGACCCTCCCATGTACCTGCAGGCCATCCATCTTCTCCTCCCAATCCGGAGACTGTCTCTCCGATGTGAAGAGTTCCGAATAGAATTCCCCTGCCACCGTACCTTTCTGCCTTTCATCTGTCACCCAGTCACCCTGCTTATCCCGTAAACCTTCAATGAAGTTTCGTCTACGACGTGCCCGCGTGACAGTATGAAAATAGGAAGAGTTCTGGTCTCCTCTTTCCAGCCACCGGACCCTCGATTTTTGCCTCCAAAATTCCTCCTCCAAAGCCCATTGCTTAGATAAATCCTTCTCTAAATCGCTAATACGATTCCAATCTATACCCTCGCCTTCTTTCAATGCCTCAATCTCCGTCTGCAGGATCCGAATGTTCCTTGCTGCATTGTTCGTACCTGCTCGACTCCAGTCATAGAGCAGATGGCGAAGTGCTTTGAGACGTTGCCAAAGGCGATACATCGGAGTCCCAGTATATGTTTGTTGCCAAACATAACTGACCAACAATCGAGTTTCAGGATTTTCCACCCACCGGGAATCAAACCGAAATATCGGCTTGTTAACCCGGCCTAATGTGTCGATTACAAAAGCAGGTAAAATATCGATTTAATATTTATGAATATGATCTCAAATTGATAAAGAGTAGCGAATTTTTCAAAAAATTCAAATCCAACTCAACCCATTAATTACAAAATTAGTAAAAGTCATTTTCAACTCAAAATTCGTCAACACTGATTCCAACCCACTTTGACGACTTTATATAGCGGGATGAGTTTTAACAAAATCTACACTCAAACACAAAATTCGCCAACAGCGGATTCAACTCGCTTTGACCAGTTTGATAAAGTAGGGTGTTTCTAAACAAAATTTACACTCGACCCAATTCGATAACACCGGGACCGAGTCGAATTAGGAACATAGTGATCCACACAATAACATGTAGTTTGTTGTTTCAAAGAGATCCACACCCGACCCAACAAAAGCGGGTAAAATTCGTTCCCGACCCAAAATGCGTCAATACCGGGACCGGGTCGAATTAGGTTTGGATATAGTTTTTTAAAAAAAGCGACACACCACCCAATTCGTTATTTACAAAAGTTGGTAAAATCTATTGCGGACCAAAAATAACACCGGGACCGAGTAGAATTAGGAATATAGTGATCCACACAGTAACATGTAGTTTGTTCTTTTAAAGAGATCCACACCCGACCCAACAAAAGCGGGTAAAATTCGTTCTCGATCCAAAATTCGGCAACACCGAGACCGGGTCGAATTATATTGAATATAGTTTTTAACAAAAGCGACACACAACTCAATTCGTTATTTACAAAAGTTGGTAAAATCTGTTGCCGATTAAAAAGTCGGCAACACCGAAACCGGATCAAATTAGATTGAGTACACCCGACTCAACAAAAGCGGGTAAAATTCGTTCCCGACCAAAATTTGGCAACACCGGGACCGGGTCGAATTAGGTTGAATATAGTTTTTAACAACAGCGACACACGACCCAATTCGTCATTTACAAAAGTTGGTAAAATCTGTTGCCGACCAAAAATTCGGCAACACCAAAACCGGATCGAATTAGATTGAGTACACTTAAATTTAGGTACAATTGTAATAAAAGGAAATCATTAAAACATAAGATCAATGAATTTATTAGTAAAAAGTAAAAAGTAAACAATAAACAAATCATTGTTGATGTGACTATAAGTAATAGTGCACATCTTACTTGTTCTTTAATAAGAAGAATTATTAGTAAAAAGTAAAAAGTAAACAATAAACAAATCATTGTTGATGTGACTATAAGTAATAGTGCACATCTTACTTGTTCTTTAATAAGAAGAATTATTTTTTTACTAGCTTTTTACCCGGCCCGTTGGCCGGAGAGTTTCATTTTATCGTTGACATTAATTCAATTTATCTATATGTTTAAACTATTTTAGACCTTCTAAATTTATTATATTTTGTATTGATAAGTCAGTATGTGGTGTGTCTATATATTGAAAATTCTCAATACTTGGCACATTCACTTATAATGTTTGACTTCTCTAATCATAAACAATGTCACAAAGGTATACCACGTCCCATGTACAATTTTTTCTATCTTATATGAATCCACGTTGTTCAGATGAGGACATCTTAGTTAGAGTTTCTTTGTACATATACTTCATTATTGGATAAATTTCTTCATCCCAATTAAAAGTTGACACTTTGGATGTTCATGAAGTTTACTGTAAGATCTTATTTGTATTTAGTCTCTTATACAATATGTATCAATTGCTAATTTCAGAAATTTAATTTGGACTAACTGAGACTCATTGTCGTTGTTTATATATTATTTTAGAATCTCAATCCAAGATACTCACATACGGATTTTGATCTTAATATGGTGCGTTAGTGTATAATTTTACAACTTGTAGAACCTTCGTTTTCTAAAATTCATTTATGTTTGGTATTTGTTTAGAAATAAAATTTTATTACTTATACTAATATATGCATTTTTCTGTATGGCCACATTTATTGTCAATATATAGCATATATATTAAAAAGATTTTAATTATTTTTAAGTGTAATTAATACTTGTTTTTTACAGGGATTTGTAAAATGTTAAGAAAATAAGGGAAAATATGAACAATGGTAAAAGAAAATAAGGGATGGAAGTACACATTATAAGTGAGAGAAGTTATTATTACTTATCAATTTCATTTATCCAATGAGGTGATCTATTCTCGCTCCATTGAATTTTTATCAAATTATTTTATTCCGTAAATATATTATTAGTTATGCATGTGTTTTATTGCAAAAAAAAAAACATGTGTTTGCTAAGAAAGATCATACCGATGATCAACTTCTCTAATCTTGCCTCATTTTCATGTGAATATTCATGAAGTCTCCTAACGATCTTATGTTAACATACGTCTATCAAGAGACCCAAATTTAGTATATTATATAACAGAGTAAATGCATTTTATTAACCAAATCTTTCAAAAAAAAAATTCAAAATACAAAGTATTAGCCAAACGTTAACTCCCGTTAGCATTTTTGTTAGTAACGTTGACTCAACAACATGATGATGAGTTGGAAGAGACACGTGACGGTCTATAATCCAATTTAGTATTTTAATTAAAAAAGAATTACAAAATTATTAATGATAACAAAAAAAATGGTTAATATTTTGATGTGATACAAAATATTTGGCTAATCATTTGTAGTTTGAAAGGTTTGGCTAATAATTTAAAAAAACTGAAAGGTTTAGCTATTTAAATGTTATTTACTCTTTATGTATCAATTGCTAAGTTGTCTCCTCCCACATTTTGTCACGACCGCTATTGAAGTTCTATACCAGATCTGCTCTGTCCAATCTTCACCTTTGTCCACCAATTCACGGCCCATATAATAATATCGCCAGCTGAATTTTAAATTGTCCTCCTGCACCATTTCTCACATGCGCCACCAAATTGTTGACATAGTTAGTTTCGTCTACCTAGGTATCTCCACTCTCTATTTCATTTAACACCCGTTATTTGGTTTGCTTTCCTTCACTCAAAATTTCTTCTCCTAATGAAAAATCAAAAGGTAATGGCCTAACACCTACTTAGCATATGATGTTAACTGAAAATTTACTTAATAAGATTTATTCAAATATTTTTGTTTAAACAATCGCGATACATGTCAGCCTCCAAACATTAGTATACTGCTGCTACACATATATACTACAAAATGTACAAATGAATTATTAAATAAAACAAAAGGAAACATTAAATGAATATAGAGATAGCTACATAAATTGAACATTAACTTACTTTTGTGTTTGTAAAAAAAGTGTCAACCATGATAATTTGTAAATTCTTCAAGTGCTTATGTGGCAACAAACTATTGTTGAATTGTCATAGATATATAGATAGACAGATAGATAGATTTTAAACCTTTATTTGATTAATGCATAGGTCAGTGGTTGATGAACACATGATGTTTAACATACAGTTTAGCAAAGATTCAGCTAACTTTCACATGTATCATTTTTTAATGTATCTCGTGTCTCATCTTAAGATATGAAGTCAAGTTCATAAACGATCATACCGAAGTCATTTTGAAAATTTTGATTTATAATCCTTGAAAATTTATTACTCCAAGTTTGAAAATTAAATTTCTTAGCATATGACGTAAAACTTCATTAGAGTTTGCTCAATTAACACGATCTAGAGCAAAAATGCAAAATATTAGTAATTTGAACCTAGGATACATTGTAAATTATTGCAACTATGATTCATATGTCTTCACTTAATTAGAATGAATAAGGTTTTTGTTTAAGAAATAGATTTTATTGCTTGGTCAAGTTTCTATTCAAACGTTTCTTGTTTTCTCTCTTTAATTTCCATCTTTATTTTGTCGCGATAAAATGTTATTATGTATGTGTGTTTGTATAAATTGTTCATTAAAATGTAACATATTTGTAAATTATTTTAAAAGTGAGTTAAAAGTTTACTTAGTGAGCTTTAATAAGATATTTGTTTGGTTGAGAAAAAAGTTATATGTGTGACTCAAAGACATTAGTCTATTGTTGCGTACATCAATACAATGCAAAAGTAAAAACAAAAACATAAAAGAAGTATTGGAAAAGAAAATTAAATATTAAAAAAGTTAGAGATAACAAATGTTATATATGTCACTTTTCATACATTATTTATTGTTGTGTACATTGATATAATACAAAAAAAGATAAAAGAGAAATGAAATAGTAAATGAAGAGAGAGATAGCTCCATAAATATATCAATAACTATTTTTCTTTTTGTAAAAATATTATCCACCTTGGCAATTTGTGAACTCTCCAAGTGCTTAGGTGACAAACAATTACTTTTGAATTGCCATAATATTATGTATAGATAGATAGATAGATAGATAGATGGATGATACCCTATGCATGAAGACTTTAAGGGGATGGCGGAGCAGGCCTGGTCCCAAGGGACGGATTTGAAAAGCTCGATTGAGGCTTTTACGACAGCAGCAAAAGAATGGAATCATCACACGTTTGGACATATTATTAGAAGAAAGAATTCCCTGCTGGCTAAGATTGAACGCTTGGAGATGGCGGGAGGTGGGGACTCTGATATTCCGCAGCTTAAACAGTAACGCCAAGAGCTTGAAGATACCCTCCTACAAGAAGCAATTCTGTGGTGTCAAAAGTCGAGACTAGACTGGCTTGCGCATGGAGATAAGAATTTCAAATATTTTCATGCCCGTACAGTCCAACGCAGGAAGAAAAACAGAATTAATATGCTAAAAGACGAGATAGGAGCCTGGGTGGAAGATGAGCAACGCTTACAAGACATGGCCAGGATGTTCTTCCAGCTACTGTACACGGACGAATCGAGCGCTCTCCAAAGCTTGCCGTCTTTGTTCCCAAATGTGACGGAAGAGTTTGGGGAAAGCATCTCGGGGACGTTCACGGACGAGGAGGTTCGGAGGGCAGTTATGGGGATGGGTGCCCTTAAGGCGCCAGGCACGGATGGACTACACCCGTTATTCTTTCAAAAATTTTGGCCAACGGTGGGAGCGAAATTGGTCCAATTTGCACGTGATTGCTGGACTGACCCGACGAAGGTGAAGCTGGTTAACGAGACTATCCTAGTGCTTATTCCTAAAATCAGTCGGCCATCCCTGATTGAGCAGTATCGACCCATTAGCCTCTGCAACGTAACGTATAAGATTCTGACTAAATGCCTGG